GTTTAGTCAATTACCAAAATTTGGATGATTTTGAATATTCACTTGAAAAGTTATCAAAGAAAAACATTTTTCATTTTGTAACTTCGAGGGCCCGTTACTTGGTAACGAAGGATTTTAGGAAAAAAAGTTATATGAAGTACTGGTGATATTTTGACCCCATCTATACATTCCCGAGAGGAAAAGAGGAAGTCCAGGGACACCCTGTAGAGAGAATATAGGTGTGGAGATAGACAGAACCCCAGTGCTTTCATTAAAAAATCCTTAAAAATAGCTTGGTGAATTCTAACTCTGAATTTCCGGTTGACCAGATAAGAATCTGAGATTCTTATCATATATGAAGGCATGTGTGCCGTCCACATTTTCGCGATAAATCTTTCTGTCCGAACGGTGTTGAAGGCTTTCTGTATGTCCAACAGAACCATAACTGTATTCTTCTTCTGATGAAAGGCCTCCAATTATTCCGTGGACCAGTCGGACTAGCTGTGAGGTTGTACTACGACCCAGCCTGAATCGAAACTGATCATTCGGAACAAGTTTCAGCCTTCTCTCCAGACGAAGAAGTCTGCTTAATAGTACTTTGTCAACGATCTTAGCAACCGTTCTTAGCTGCGAGATCGGCCGATGGCTTTCCCTTTGAATTTTATGTTATTCCGATTTGTGAATGGGTATTATTTTTGGGGGCTTCAAGCAGTCTGGATATTGTAAAAATTTGATGATGCCGTTGGTGATATGTATCATCTGTACGAGACCTTTGCGCGGCAAGTTCTGGAGCAGAATTGCTTTAATGCTATCGCTGATAGGTGTTTTGTGTATTGGCAGACGTTTTGTTGTGTCTCTCTTCTCCTCGAAGTCGGTAAGGAGTTTGGCCAGATCATTATCGTTTAGGCAGGAAAGAGTCATGGAATGCACCCTCCTCGCCATCTCGATAATATTTCTGTGCGCATCGGTGATGTCTGGCGATGTCTGGTGAACATTATGGAAATATTCGCCAAACACTCTGGCCTTCTGATCGTCGATCACTTAACATTCACTATTGCTCTCCGCCATCCTGTGCCATCAGTCTCCACAGTTTCTCCTTCCACCGGGCATTGGTGAACTAATTTA